ATCGGTTTGGCAATAGATTCGAAAAAACATGTTTTAGCTCGGCTTAAATAAAAATTACCGTGAAATGACCGACGTCGGATGCTATACATGTTACGATCAGTTAAAATGCACTTTTTCGAACCTCTTGACAAAACAATAAAAGAAAAGATGAAAGGATTTAAGAACTGAACTGCCCGTTATTTTGACATGATCTTCCAATTGTTCCTCAACAGAGGCAACGTGGCACACGGCACCTCGGGCAAAGTTCGACATATTGTCTCGCAGTGAAAGGCTATTATATAAAACGCACACGAAAGAAATGAGAGAGGGGGAGGAAAGCACATGAGGGGGAATGGGGGAGGGCGTGCGTGTCATCGAAAGGGCGAAATGGCAAAGCGGGGGCAGGGAGGGAGCGCGCGACGCCCCTCTTGACCTCCTCACCCTCTGCTCTCCCTCCACTCCTTTCACCTTACCTCTCGGGTGTTGTGGTGGCAGCTCGCTCGCGTTGAAGGTCTTCTGATGGGGCTTAACTGGGCTGTGGGGTCGCCACCCTTGGCTGCTGCTGCCGCCAAGCTCCTCTCGCTGCGGCCGTTTCCTTTGTATACCAGAATGGCGGTCGTGGCGTGGCGGGGAGTGGTGCGGCCGGAGCGTCAACAGCCTCTAGCCTCTCCCCTCGCTAGGGCTGGTGAATTCATCTAAAGGCATACCCTCTAAGTTCCTACGCTACCCCTACCTCCCCTTCAGCGTTACGATGCACTGTGAGAAATTGTTGTACCAAAGTACAGGGGAAAAAAACAAAATTGCAAATTTACAAGCACTGCGAGTGACTTTAAATCTACTTGACGAACAAGGTTACGATATTTTACGAGAACAACATATTTTGTAAATATTACAAAATATATTGTATTGTAAGTAATATATCTTTTTAATCACAAAGAGTGCTGGGATCTTTATTATTTCGTCACAATAACAAATTCTTTGAGAAGTGCTGATTTTTTTAAAACAGTGAACTCCGTGAATAACGCGCGACCCCCTAGCAGTGCAGAGGGGGCGGACGCGACGCAGTAAAGGGACATGACAAGCCAGGTGGGGTGGGCTTCTCTACACTGTAAATTCCGGGTAGTGTCCAGCAGGAAAGTGACAAGCAAGGTGGGAAGTCACCGGGTAACTCCATGGTTTGTGGTCTGGAATGGACTCAACGCTCGTGGGTCCATACAGCTACTCGGTGGACCAACAGAGGGACAGAGAGTGATAAAAGAGTGCGTCGAATTTCAATGACTTAAGTCGCCAACCTGCTGGATACGTACACGGGATTTACCTTGCGCGACCCGGTTCAACTCCCTACACACAGTGAGTGAGAGTATTTGTTTAGCAAGGATGTTTTTTTCAATTTTCAAGGACCATCTGGAGGATTCAAGGACGGTCCTTGGAAAAAAGCCGTTTTCCTGTGGTTTTTGTTCATTTTCAAATACGGTCGTTTGAAGCTCCCTCGGGACACTCCCCTGAGAATTGCCCCGAGGGAGGGCACGGGAGGCTGCTGGAGAGGAGGGGGGAATTCCCCCAGGGGTGCCCCGCGGACACTCACCTGAAAATTGTCCCAAAGGATCTTCAAACGACCGTCCTTGAAAATAAACAAAAACCATTGGAAACCAAGGACTCGCGCTCATCGTGCAGTTAGCCCGCAGTCATCACTTGGTGTGTTACTCTCACTCTCTCCTTCGCCTCTCTTATCGCCATCCCGACCGTCCCGCCCGCCCCCGCACCAGGCTCATTTAGCCACAGATGACGGTGAATGGATCACCGGCCACTTCAAGGCATCGCGACCGCGGCGCGGTCCGCGCAGCCAACAGCAGTCGGTCCAATTACGTCACCTGTCAGCTGACGCAGCGGCCACGCAGCGAAAAGCCGCGAAAAGCCCATTGACAAGCTTACCAACGAGCCCTTCATTCACCTTGCCTTCAGCTTGTGCTCTAGACTCTTCCCATCTGTAAGTACACATCACACTGCTTGGTTTTGCATAGCCCAGTGAGAAATGCAATATATACGTCGAATTTGGATTTCGTCAAATCGGCGTCATTTTCGCCTGCAAAACAATGAACAATGTCGACGTCGATTCGATATTGCAGTTCGCACTGGGGTAGGACTTTTCGTGTGCATCTACAGAGATCATGTGCATGTAGACAGTAAATTGCTGTACAACGACAAAAGCCGTTCAACAACAAATTCACTGTTAACATTATTTTTTACAGTGGAAAGCGAAGAAACACCTCTTAAACAGTGATATTGCATGATATCGCTCCTTTAGAGTCATTCAGATGACTCTTTGAGAATGATCTTGTGCAAGATGACTAATTTAGCGATATGTTTTCGTGATACGGGTACAGTCACTCTCATTGAGCGAAGCAGACATCTGGACGATGTAAAAACACGTCAAATTTGAATGAGAAAAATTACTCTCACGTTTACAGTTTACAAACACATGTGCTCCCGCGAACCAATATGGCAATCCGAAAGCACACACCGCAAACGAAAAACTCATTTTGGGTCGGAGCACTTATGCAAACGTCCCATTAAGTGTGCATGCCCATGCATATGTTATACACAGTTTGCAGTGTACTCTGTTGGATCTTCAGAGAAGCATGTCGCTGGGCCCAACTCAGGGGGTGTAATCGCGGGGGCTCACGCAGACCTCCTCTTCTCTCTCGCCGTGTAGAACCACAGCGCCAGCCCACTACGGCCCGCCCGCCAGGACACATGTCGGAGCGCTCCCTCCTCGCCGGCCCGCGTCCCGCTCGGCTGCGTTCGCGGCTGCCGTGCTGTCCTCGTCACCCTCAAGCCCAGCAGCCCTACTCTGCGTACACAGCCCCGCCCGCCTGCGTGCCTCTGTGCGTGGGCCGGGGCCGGCTGCTGCACCAGCCAGCCAGCGGCATGCTGCCGGCAGGCCTCGGTGAAGGGACCCCTAAAATCCCGTTATTTTAAATATAATAAATCGATACAGATAGTAAAACAGATTAAAGCACACTTCCAGCCAGAAACAATCCAATCGGGGTCGAATAGACATTGCGGTCTATTTTCGGACCAAAACGGCGTCTATTTCGTGCGAAAATACAGGCACAGACGTCAAGTAGGTGCTCGAAACTATACTGGCTTATTCTGGCGTTTAAAAAGACTTCAAGCCTTAGCACCCGTCTTAACATTGTTTTACTAATAGGCACAAGCCCCAAATACATTTTTGGGTTGTACATGACCTCTCAACTATTTCGTCAAGCACTTTAGCATCGGAGAGATAAAATATGCTTTAATAAAAACAACTCTGTATTTCAGCGGTGTGCCGGGGTCCTGCGGGCACACTGCTGCTGGTGGGGCGCGCGGCGCGGGAGGCTCTCAGCTGCTCCCACCGTTCCCTCCCCCACTCTCTTCTCCCAGACTGCGCCGCCACAGCTTGCGAAGGTCGGTTCGGTTCAGCTTGGCTCGCAGTGTCTAGAGAAATCCCCACCTTTCTCCCCCTTCTTGTGAGACGTTCATTCGCTGGCGCTAGCTAGCGCTGTTAGTGCTTCAGAGGTTCATCTCTAAATCACATGCCTATTGAATGAGAGAAGAGATCCATTTCAATTCGTAAATATTATTTAAAAGGGCACGTGTATAGCGGATTTAACTTGCCAGAGGGATCCTTGCAGTGAGAGAGCTCAACTCGTTTTGTAGGTTTTTCCTAAACTATAAAACAAAGACACAATCTCGCATTGATTAGAATTGAAATTAAACAAATCAGTTCCTTTAAAAAAACTCACTTTGTTTGATTTACCTGTATTCTACTAGGTATAAAGTTGGAAAAATGAAAGAGAAAGCTACATATACAGATGGAAAACTTTATTCCCTCTGAAAAATATGTACATGGAACAAAGCTTTGGACACACTACACAGCCATCATAGTTGGCTACACTGAGTATAATAGACATGACTCTTCAATCTCTTTTTCATTATACCATTAGAGAAAGCTCACAAAACCACATATCCTCACAATACCGCTCAAGATAGTCTTAGTTTTTATATTTTTTTTAAAGAAGTAGGCATACCTGATATAGTGATAATCCTGATTTGGCGATATGATATCCAAAGTTGTCACACAAGGAAACTTATCCATCACAACTGTCTTGATCCCGGTTCACTCACAGATTAACACTGAAGTTGGCTTATTGCACAACACTGTAGGCTCAACTCAACCTTCAGGAAAACCAACCAACACTAATCCATGATTCGCAATGACACTTTCTTACAAAATTGACACTGTATAAAAAGTTACCCAAAAGGTCACTGTTAAATACACTTTTGTTAAAAATCATCTCATCATACACAAAAATTATCTAATTTATCATATGTACATTTGTTTCACACATATGTATCACTAATAAAAAATATTACACTGAGAACTGTAATGTACAATTCTTACTATTCAACATTAAAGTAATAAAAACTTTCTTTTAAAAAAATAAACAAAAAAAGAAACAAAGCACCAACGTATCAGCAATGTCACAAGTCCCACTTAACTTTTCATCTCTCTACTTCAATAAAATGCCACATGCTTGACTCAAGTAATAGCAGTGGATCAGAGCATTTCCCAGGTACTCCATTCAACACATTCCAATGCACGACAATTTAACACTTCAAAGAATGATTTTGAGCAAAACCTAATACTACTGCCTCTCACTGATTCATTCTAGTATCTAGAAATCATACATTCCAAAACGTTACATTTTAATTTTCTCTTTTAATGCTGTTAGGTCTAACCAACCATAAAACAGTAATCAGCAGAGACAAAATGAATGAAATCTTGAAATAGAAGTAAGAAAACAGATCAAATATCATGCCTGGACATTGGAATTGTTTCACTAGAATGATTATGACTAACAGCAGCTCCTGGAGTATTATAAATGACGTAAGTGGAACCGGACAATGTCAGTTGAGGGCAAAAGAACAGAATGAAATGCAACATGAAATGCAGGTCCCCAGGGACAAAAAATTTATCTCGCTATACAAATTAAAAGATGAAAGTTTGGATCAGGGTGATGGCTTTTAAATAACTTTTACAATCAAAATTCACAATTAGGCTTAGAAAAATGGCGAGTGGATTAAAATATCAAGTAAAAGCTAATCAACAATCCACACACTGATATAACACTTTTCATGAAAAAGTACATACAAAAATTTTGACCACTTCTACTTCTTTCCTGAGAGAATCTGATCACACAGATTAACAGGGCAATCACAGAATTGAAAGGGTTAATTTCTTTACACATAGGCAAAGAACCAAAATAATGATCATCTCATTAAAAAGGACAAGCCATCACCCGAAAGGTTGTAGACACATCACACAACACAATGCTACATTGTAAGTCTTTCACATTGGCAATTAAAAAAATATATATAATACCCTAGAATGCCTAGAATTTGTATAAAAACAATTTTTTGCACCAATAGCAAATATACAATTCACATGACCAAAAGTTCACCATGATATCTAATGAAATAAAAATCAGGGCCTGTCAACCTGCAGCCTTTCAGAATGCTTTACCTGATAAACATGTCTTCATACAGATATGTGATCAGAATCTAACAGAATGTACAAAAAGTGTACAAAGTTAGGCCTAAATCTCGGCTCCTATTTGATCTGAAAACACCAACTTAAACTAAGTGTTTATGGTCACTGCACCCTGCTTTCATTAAATTAACACAGCAACCAACAAAAGGAGCAGTGAAACAATCACTGAACAGACTTTGACAGCAGGGCAATACATTACTGGTAACTTAAGCTGTAGCATAGAATAGATCTCAATCAGAAATGGAACCTTTCAGATTTACACATATTTACATTAACCTGTGACATCAGACAACAAATAACACTTAGGGTGAAGAAAGAAAAGGATGTGTTATTCACAAAGTTTCTGGATTCCCTCCAAAATATCAGCACTGAATCTGCAGATGTATAGGCCATGAAACACTGTGGTAAAAAAATACATTTGTCAACAATAAAAGAGAAAATTGTGCAGCACCACATAATAAGATGATGTGATGCACCACCAAGTAAAGATGGATTGTATGCTGGTTCCAAATGCTGTCTAAAAACTTATCACTAAGCCTAAAGCAGTTCTTGTTGGCTATATCAATAATCAGAATAAAATAAATGACTTTGAAATTAGTAAGCTCAATTAAATTCAAAAACTAGCTCTGTACAACTGATAGTGCCTTTATTTTAGACAAGCATGATAAAAAGATCGAATCACTGTAAAAATTTTGAAGCATGCCATGTGTCATGTGTAATTAAATAACTTAGTTTTGGTCTAGCATGTAGATTGCATCGGGCGCAACATGCATTTCAGACAACAAAATTAACAACTGCTAAGAAACCGAGGAACACACACCGTTTCTTTCTTGAAAAATAGTGTGAGCTGGCACAAATAATAAAATAAAAAATCTTGTCCTATAGTAATCACAAAAAAACACTAAAGCACTGTGCAGCAACAGTAACTTTTCTTTTCCTTCTCTGGATTAAAGTTCATCTCGCGTACGATTTCGGCAAACACGTCATTTACATATGTCCTGCTTTTGGCACTAGCCTCGAGGAATGGGCAGCCCCAGATTTGCGCCAGGTGGTTCCCCTCGACCGTCGACACCTCCCGCTGGTGCTCCAGGTCCACTTTGTTGGCTACGAGCAGGATCGGCACCCGTTCCGTGCCCTTGACCCTCGTGATGAGCTCCTTCATGGTCTTGATGTCCTGGAACGTCTGGTGGTTTGTCAGACTGTACACCACGACGAAGCCTTGCCCGTTCTTGATATACAGGTCCCGCATGCTGGCGAACTGTTCGGTCCCGGCTGTGTCCAGGATCTCCAGAACGCACGGGGTGTTCTCCACCTCGATCTCCTTGCGGTAGAAGTCCTCGATGGTCGGGTCATACTTTTCCATAAAGCAGCCCGAAACGAACTGCACCGTTAGGGCACTCTTGCCGACCCCACCAGAGCCCAGCACCACCACTTTAAATTCACGCATTATATTTGTTGGTTATGTGCACTTGGGCCAGTAATCCAAAAGTGTAGGCCCCTCTTCGTACGAGTACTTTTGTTTCACTACCACTAACCACGCACACCAAAGCCGCACACTATAGCACTAGTGTAGAACAGCTATATGGCCGGTATTGGAGGAAACTGTTCCAAAAATAACTTGAAAATCCGACAGCGGCTCGCAAAGTACAATAAAAATTCGCTTGTGGCCATCTCTCGCTCGCTGCTGAGGCCATCATCGGCGGACCGCCATCTTGCTAACTCAAGTCATGGCCATGGCTGACTACATACTGACGGCCCCTCCACTTCACTTCCACTTCCACTCTCCTCCGGCGAGCTCCGCCGCTCTCGCCTGCCCCGGTTGGACGGATCGCAAATGCCGACCTCTCCAATAAGGCAACGCAGAAGCATTGAACATACCGACTGTCATTCTCATTTCCTCCTGTCATTCACGTTGGCGCTCACAGCAATTTTGATTTACAGCGAGGTATAGAAACTCAGTCTTGGGAGGAAGTTTAGTACATAGTTAGGGGCGAATATTGACTTTACATCTTTGAGTGTAAAAGGTTGGCAACCACATTTGTGATGTCAACAAAGCAAAGCAAAAGATGTCTGACTCATTCAGTTTTATCAGAGCTTATTTTCAAAGTCAATCTTGCCAACCTGCCAAATTTTTACAAGTTCAATGTTTTGTTTTTTTTTATTAAAAAAGCTATCATTACATCTTTTGCTTGAGACAGATGATTGACATCATAGTTTACTTTACATTGATTTTTTTCCGTTCAGATACTTATACTTCATCTCTAGTGACACCTAGTTCTTATGGTTCCACCCTGTAAACCAGGAGTTCTCAAGTCTCTCAACTCACCCTTCATCAAAAGTCTAACGTCATCACCCTTCCATTTCCAACTCTAGAGGGGTGGGCGTAAACGCGTCGATTTTACTCCCCCCTCCCTCTCATTCCTTTTTGTTTAAAGAGTAAGTGTTGAGTGTTCGTTGTGGTACCTCATGTTAAATTTTTTGTGACAGGTAGCAATTTGACAGTTTTTGGGTTCTGCCATTAGAACTTGTTGCATACATTATTTTCTGTTGTAATTGGGGCGGTAGTGATAGTAGCGAACGTCACGAGATACAGAACCTAACCAACTATTTTTTTTAAAACCGCACCCACTACTAACAACAACAAATTTTAAATAGCAGCCAACCTTATATATGTTGCCATCTGCTTCAAGTTTCTCCTTAGTTTTTAGACACCCTATTTTATTTCAAAAAATAAATTCCATTTTTATTATTGTTAGAGCTCTCCGCCCCTTTCCCATTTTCTCTGTGTTTTCTTCTTAAAATAATGATAAATAGCTGGTATATTTAAAGGGTTCGTTTGGATTAATTTACCATCCTTATCTTCTTTCAGATTCAGCATGTCGTACCCACCCCCTCAACAGCCAGGCTTCAATCTTCCACCACCTGGATATCCTCAGCCTGCTTACTCGACCCCTGGATATGGCCAACCTGGAGAAGGCCAAGTTTATCCTCAACCAGGTAAGCCAGCATATTCCATTTTTGATATTATTTAAATTCAAATTTTTATCTCTTGAGTGATATCACAAACAATTCTGCATTATTTACTTTATTCAATGAATAATCAATTATAAATCATTAATAAATGTGGTTGAAATACTATTCTTTTAAGGTGGTTATGGGCAACCAATGAGTTTCACACCTCAGTATCCTACACCAGGAGGTCAGACATATATCCCACAAGGAGGTCAAGCATATCCTCCCCCTGGGCAGGTTTATCCACCACCAGGGGGTCAGGGGTATCCTCCACCGGGAGGTCTGGCGTATCCACCACCAGGAGGTCAGGGGTATGCCCCTTTAGGGGGTCAGGCTATCACAACCCAACCACAAGCACATGGAGCTCCAGATGCTGGTATGTATTGTAGAAATTTCTTCAGCTAGTTTTTTTCTTAATATAGAAGCCACAAATTGAAGAGAGGTAGATAGTCATGACTTAAGTACATCTATGCTATGGCACTTACACAAATATCATGTGCATGTATCTTTTTTTTTAGCAGCTTGTATCAGTTAAATCTTTGCTTGATAACTTCTAACTTTCTTTTGGATATATATATATGTTGCTGGTTTTGGTAGTTGCAGTGGTAGCTTCAGGCATATTGCTATCTTGAGGGTTGGTGCAGCAGTAATCTCTCTTTGCCAGAGATAACAATTTGAGTACACATGGTAGTGGGGAGGAGTAGAGAAAGCTGGGTGCAACAGTCGTGAGATAAGCTGTGACTTCAAAGGCAAATCAAAACATTTGGAGTTGTGAATGTTGCTGACTCCGACCCAACTTATTGTTTTACTGTTAAGAATATTTCAGTACTTAAATTTTAAAAATTTCTTAAGATGAAAGAATGTGTTCTGGTACATGGCAGATCATGTGACTGTCCATTAACTTCACCTTTAAAGAGCAACAAGTTAAAATGGTGTAAAAGTTATTTTTCATCGAAGAAAATTAAATTTAGCTTAAAAGCAGTAAGCATTAGAAGCTTGTGGCGCAAAATTAACAAATTTGTGTGTGAAGTACCAGACCTTTTCTGGCTTTCTGGATCATCTGATGTCCCCTATCACCGCTTTTTAACTGAAAGCGAGCAAAGGTTTGGCTTTCCCCTTAATGATCTGTTCTATGTTACCCGTTACCCGTTGTTACCCTTCATCTGTCTTATAGTCAATTAAATCTAATAAAGAAACTTCTTGCAGATGGCTGGATGAGTTTACCGTCCAGCATTCCAATGTGCCCGCCAGGTTTGGAATACCTTACATCGATTGATCAGCTCCTGGTGCATCAAAAGGTTGAGATTCTAGAAGGTATGTAAAATTATATGCCTGTGGAGCACTATGCATTGCATCAATAGTTTAGGCCTCTAAACGTGTTATAAATAATTTATAAATAAAATTATTAAATTAATCTTGGTTTACTTTGCAGCTCTGACCGGGTTTGAAACTAAAAACAAGTTTACAGTAAAGAACTCTGTGGGTCAGAAAGTTTACAAAGCTGTTGAAGACAACGATTGTCTGACAAGAAATTGTTGTGGTCCCCTTCGACCGTTTGACATGAAAATTTTGGATAACTTTGACAATCAAGTGATCCACCTGAATCGCCCACTTGCTTGTGATTCTTGCTGCTTCCCTTGCTGTCTACAGGTAAATAATAGTTAGTTGCCACCTGGTCATTGACATATTTTCATCTATCTTGTTCAAAATATTGTTCTATGATTTATGCATAGTCTATGGATGTCTCCTCTCCTCCTGGCAACCATATTGGCAAAATTGAACAAGAATGGAGTATCTTGAAACCAAAGTTTGTTATAAAGGACCATAATGATGAGGTAGTGTTGAAGATTGAAGGCCCTTTCTGTACTCTCAGTATTTGTGGATCCGATGTGGAATTTAAGGTATGCACTCTACTCAGTGTACCACAAATGGTTGATCATTACCTCTGTAACCAAGTGAAACTCATACTTTAAATCTAGGTACTCTCAAAAGATGGTGAACATGAAGTTGGAAAAATTTACAAACAATGGGCTGGAATCTTGAGGGAGGCATTAACAGATGCTGATCATTTTGGAATTACATTTCCTATGGACCTTGATGTCCGTATGAAAGCAGTTATGCTTGGTGCATGCTTCCTCATTGTAAGTTTGTTTGATTTTTGTTTTAAATTCTAGACAGCAGATGGTCTGATTGCTGACAGTACTGACAGTACAATGTGATTTCAATTTTCAGGATGCTATGTTTTTCGAGAAGACTCAGAATCGTTCACAGGTGAGAATTGGTGATTTCGTGTAAGCTGTTCCTCTTATCATTTTGATTTTAAGAGTGTTTTTTTTTTTTTTAAATTCTTTCCAGTCTTTAATATAACCTTTGAAGATATTACAATAACATGATGTTGTGAGGTAAAAGAAACACCTTGAAGAGTCTTTTTATTACTTGTGCCTTGTGCTATGCTGTCTGTGCCTATGCCCTGCTGATGTCTTGAATTTATGTAAGATTTCTATTTCTTGTATACCATCTATTTTACAGTGTTCTTTTTATTTGATTTACTGGAACACTCAGATTTGACCTTCTGTGTCTTTGTACTTCCATGTTCAATTTATACTTTTCATATTTTTCTCTTTGTATTGAATGCACAAATTCCTGATAAATGTGTGTGCCTTTATGTATTTGATTATAGGTATCTTGATACGATTTAACTTTTTGATGTTTAAACTTGTATAAGTGTTGGCAGATTTGCCATTTACAGTTTCAAGTATTTAATTGTGTATGAAAATCACAATATTTGTATTTTTGCCGTAATTTTACACGTGTGATAGCCTAGACAAATGCCTGGTGTATCCTAAAGTAACGGCACCTAAGTGGACTTCAACCAAAGACCAATAGCTTGTCAGACGACCAATAGCTTGTCAGACTGTACAGAGTACCTGTCCCGTACCTCAGAACAGAAAGAAAACTGCAGAAAAAACAGCTTTAAATTCTTAATCCTCATGGGGGGAAACGATGGCTTCCAAAGATTTTCTCTTCCAATTTGAGCAGAACTACTGCTTCTGGTTTTATCAGGCTTGGGAATGTCAGAAGTTTTCTTTGAAACCTAGAATATATCTTATGGTCCATGTGGGCTTCTGCAGTCTGAAGTATTGATTCGCCACAATTTAAGGCTGATATTTCAAGAAAGTGTAATGCTTGCTGTTATGCTGTTTGATTGAAAAAAAAAATATTGATGTTATTGCTAATATTTTTAAATCTAAACAATGAAAATTAGTCATAGAAGCTAATGTGTTACTATATATGGATACGATGTTTGTGCTGTGCTGTTTTTGCTGTTCAATAAAAAATTATAATTAAATTAAATTGTGTTCCAAGCTTGCATTTGTATTGAAACTGACAAAACACTTAAAGCAGTTCCAATCCATACTAGCAATGTAATTTAGGAGTGTTTTCAAAAAATTGAAAACACTTGCTATGATTTTTTTTTAAGGATTTAAGTGATTTTGTTGACAGACGATGGTACATCTGCAGAATGAAATTTGATTTGACTTGGCGTTGGCCACATCGAGGGCCAAAAGATATATCTTTTCTACTTTTAATTTGAATCACATTACCCTACCTACAAACTACAAAAGCAGAAAAACAAAAACAATCAGTTTTTGTTGTTATCGTCTGCGTCCTCCCTCACAGCGGCTGATGGACCTAATGGATCTGCTGTCACACTCTCTGGAAGCTGCATTAGCTCGCAACATCCAGTGAAGTGCATTGTGCGTTTCTTAGAAAAAAAATGAGAAGGGTTCTGACACTCACCTTTTAATGTTTTTGCTATATTCTGGAAACCAACCTCCAAATAGGCTTTCGTAATTTCTTACTATTGTAAAGTGAGGTTAGGATTTTTCAAAACTGCCGTAACTTTCATTAATTATTTTTCTATTAGTCGGACATTAAGTGAGTTTTGCTTGTTTCAAAACAGAAAATGGCTTTCCACAAGAGAAACCCGTCACCATCTCCATCACTTTCGTCAATGGTCTCTGATGTAAGCACATCTGACACTTTGTCTCCTGAAGAGGAAGAAGTAAGGAATTTTGTGAAAAAACGACTTAGAAAACGTCTTTTCCTTGGACAATATCAAGAACGAAGATATGTGGAATACCTCAGTGTATACAGGTTATTCTTTACTTACTTCACTCATCCTTATTGCTTTTGAAGTTTTCTTTTTATCGTACTAAATATATCAAGCACGTTATATTTCAGAGACATGGTGATACTTCATTCTTCTGAAGCAGATTTAAAAGTAGAAATAGATCGAGTCCAGTCAAAGTTGAGATCTTTTTATGGAGATGGCAAGTGGCTTGGTATAACAAGTAAGTAATTTTTAAGGTGTTCAAATAATGTCAGTTCCTTCACGTCACATTGCGTCCTTTAAAGCTGATTTCATTGTGTGGCTTCTCACTTTGTGATTATTCAAGCAATACTGCATTGCCTATGACAAGTTATCTTGTCCTAATACCTATTTTCATGAAGAGAAAGGCAAAATATTACTCTCAATAAGATTGAAGGGTCAGGCATTGTAAGAGCACTGTGAATGTGTCAAATTGTTGAAAGCTTTTATTATTGGAGACAACTTATCTTATGTTATAAGGAGATTTATCTTAATTATTCATTTTCTAGGCCCTGACACAATTGGGGCACCAGCCGCTGGTCATTGTCTTTGGACCAAACTCGAAGATGTAGCTTTTGGATTTCATTGGTTCCAAATTAAACAAATATGTTTTCAGGAGAGAGAGATTGTAATTCGCTTAAAAGTTATCAGGTAAGGGTGCTCTTAATGATTTTGACATTCCGTAGCTTTGCCAAATATAAACTTTTAAATAATGCAAATTGATTTGCTCTTTTCTTTAAACTTCAGAGCCGTTAGTGAAGAAATAATTTCCCCTGCCAACTCAAGCAGTTTTACTCAAAGTTTCTCAGAAAATGTGGACAGTTTGAAGACTAGGTTTTGTGCAGGTATAAATTCACTGAAAGAAAATGAGGCCACTGTAACTAAGTCGCATAATACTTCAGATTATGTTGCACGTGATAAAATTTCGAAAGAAAGTTCAAGCTATCCATTGAACTCCACTGGTAACGGAAAGCAAGGAAATGACCCAGCACCTGATAGCACCACGGCTGATTCCATAAATGAAACAGTAACTAAAAACCTGAAATTTGAAGATGTGCTTGTGTTATTTCGTTTTGTGCTTGGTAGTTGGAGGGAAATTTTTACATTTTTATGTGTCGCTGCAAATGGACTTGGTAAATGTGTGGAGTATGTTGGTAACTTTTCTATAAGACTTATTCATGAAGTCTCATTCCTCATCAGATCATTGACTCCAATTTTCTTAGCTGTAATCGAGTTAGTTGGTAAAGTTATTGGTGGATTTTACCTACTGATAGCTATGATATTCCGCGGACCACCACGGCAGTTTACGCCTCCTGATCAAAACAGAACTCGACTAGCCATCAGCAATGTTCCACAACGTCAACCATATTACCCATATCCAGGAAGAGGCAGGATCAGGTATGAAAGAAATTAAATTTGTTTCCTCAAATACCTTTGGTTCTCCCTGCACAATGTTGTTATTTGGGCCTTCCTTTTTGAGTTATTAGGTTTGTTCCCTTTGACTATTTTTACTGAAGATTAACTGTACTCAGCTTAATTTATGAATTTCAAGTCTGTAGAATAGTTACTATTTTAATCTGCTTGTTGGCATTTCTTTCAATGCCTGGATTTCCTGGGGGGGGGGGGTTAAATGTCGGCAATAATGGATTATACTCTGCTCATTATGTATGTTTCTCTCATTACCAGGCACTGCCTGCTTATTTTAGTTGCTTATTTGTATTAATTTTAAAGCCCTTTGTTGTGTTTGTAATGTTCTACAAACTTAATTTGAATGTTATGAATGGGACCAAGTAAACCCCCATTGCTTCTTTAGTTGACACTATGATATTACTTAAAATGAAATTCATATTAATTTTAGTGTTGTGGGACCAAAATTAGCTATCCTGTTCCTTTCACTAATTAGTCCATGATATTACTTCCCTATGTGATAAACTATTCTTGAAAGATTTTCTGTATGATGTTGTACTGAACTACTTGGCATGCATCTTTGAATCAAAGTAAGCCTGTAATTATATTTAGAACGTTTCACATCTGTTAGATCTCAAAAGTTTCTTTAACTTTGTAAAGAATCAACATTTTTCTTTTATAAATTGATAATTTATTTAGAAAAGTAACAGTAATATATTCAAATAAAATATGAAATATGTACAAAATTTGAAAGTTAAATAAACAAGTGTTTAAAAATTGAACAGCAAAAATCATAAATAAAATTAAGAACTTTTCTTCTAAGCTGTTTGTTGAGCATAGCATAGGTGCCAGACATATGCCTCAGGTACTTTACTTAAAAATGGACAAAGATAGATAAAGCCAAATACACTCCATCAAACCATACTGTTGAGAATGAAACAGAATTTCTCAAGCCTTTTTGGAGGGAACATACAAAAGGTAGAAACAACTGGAAAGATGCAGTACAGATGAAAGTTGTACAGTGGTTAAGGGTTAAGTGAGATTATTGTGATGTGTTAATGAACATGATATGAGATTCTTTCAAAGCTAAAGACCAAATTTACAATACAAACATGATTAGGAAAGAAAATTGGATGGCTCTTAATTTCAGAGTACTTCTTGTATGTGGAGTATGAATAGAACTTCCAGAGCCCACTAAAAATACAATTATTAAAATTCAGAGTTACACTTTGATTATAGGACACTACATCTTGTAATATTTCAGTGAAGAAACTGGCCTTGACTGCATAATTGTTTCCCCATCACCAGTTACTAAACAACAAAGTCCATAATATCAATCAGGCAATACTGCAAAACATTAAGTTCATTCCTACTCCCAACATGCCCCCAACTGGGAGAAACTACCGAATCACATTCAGGGGGAGTGTCATGTTTCTTGGAAGGCATGCCAATAACTTCTCTGCTAGATCTTTTGAAATTTGGAACCAATTGTACTTATCAATTGGGAAAACCTCTTCTAATGGAACCCTGAAGGACACCAGCACTGTGAGACAAAGACCATCATGCATAGCCTCTGGTCTCCCACAATGCTCCACGGACATTAAACCATGAGGTTTGTGTGCAGGGACATCAGCTCCAAATATTTCCTGTAACAAAATTTGGTTGAGAGAAATATTAATATGAAAGAGATGCAAAAGAGTAGCAACATGACTGATCATTATACAGCATTCTTACAATCATAAATTTATGAAGTAATGAGTGGAGATTTCTGTTGTGGTTTATTTCACACATAGGCAAATGCACTTCAGTCTTCTCAGAGAGTAATATATGGAGACGATTGCTACAATAAAGATGCATTGTAATGGTGACTAAGTCATTGATAAATTATATGTCAATACTGCAGAGTGAAAGTTCAATGTTATGAGTCACCTGCTTTTTTGTCTTGCACACACCACAAGCCTCAGCAACAACTTTTTATGAGCCTTAACTACTGGCACAAGATTTGCATGAATAGGTTGATTATTAGCAATTATACTGTAGTGACCACGAGCCATTTCAATTATATTGTGAATATCGGATGCTCTTAAGCTCAGCTCATTTATATCTTGAATCCATTTTGCTTGAAGTGACTCACTATCAGCATCAGCGGGTGTTTTAAGCCGTCCACCTGAAAGTCCAAAATAAGATCAGAACAATAAAGGCGTGACTCAAAAGGAAATTTTAAGATCAAATCCTCGGATTTATTGGCGACCATCTCAGACACTATTCCTTTACATTTGCATACTCTCTTGCATACAGAACCTAAAGACACCTTTTTGTTTGCTTTAAATGTCTGACGACATCTTCACAATTTGAAATTTAAAAATAAAAACCAAAGCCTCAGAAAAGTTAAAAATTTTAACAAATATGAGAATTTTCATATTTTGATCTTTAAAACTTTACTGCACCTCTATATTTTGAACCAGGGATGGAATGAAAATAAAATGGTATTACCAATTGTTTTTGCTCCTGTTTGACAGCTAAGGGCCTTGATCAACTTTTGACACTGTGTATTAGTAGAATAGGAAAGGCTCTATCTAAGCCTATCAGGATTGTCCGCAATATTTGCTTTACCTGGGAGTTGTGGCAACTTTTATCTACGAAATTAAATTACTGGCACCTTCATTCAATTTCTGTCAAAAAAGTGGCCACAACTCCCAATAAAAACAAATATTGTGGACAACCCCGTTTGGCTCAAATAGAGTCTTTTCTACTGTTCTTGCATAGCATAGCTCTTGAACAGGAACCAAAAGACTTGAGGATGTAACTTCATTCCCATTCCATCCCTGTCTTGAACTGATTAGGCTACAGGTGCCTACAAAGCTGCTACCTTCTTCAAAATTCATAAAACTGGAGCGGCTTCAGGTTGTTGAAAACTTTTTGGTTTGTTAGTAGAGTTTCAGAAACTGTAACTTCTGTGTCCCAATGAAACAACCTGATCCCAGATGGCTACCAATAATTATGGATGTCTTTGAGCCAAATATATAATGATCAAATACTTGGAGGAAATATTGAATCAAACCTGTTATGGTTCCTGCAAAAACAAATCGGAACCATGCCTTGCTAGCACATTCAACCATCAATAATGTAGTAGGCTGCATTTCTAGACCAGTTTCTTCTAATACCTCTCTGACGACAGCTTCCTGTTTTGGTGAATATATACAAAGAAAACAATAAATTAAGAGTTTTGAAATTTCTACACTGTTTCTAGGGCAGGTCAGTAACATGTTTTATTGCTCACCTCTAGATTTTCTCCAGGGTTAACTCTTCCTGCAGGTAAATACCATTGCCCTGCACAAGAACTTTTAGCCTCTTGCATCATAAGCACCTCACCTTGAGAATTAAACAGCACTCCCATAACTATATATGTTACAGTATTTCCCAAAATAGGCACATAATCAGATGGTGTTGTAGGAGTGACACCTTTAGCAGCTGTAAATTACAGAGAGAAACAAAGTTGAGCACAATGATGATATATCATCAGACAGCTGTTTTAAAGCTACCTCTTGGAGTTGAACACAAATGCAATCAACCACTAACAGGTAACTTGTAAAGAAATCATCTACATGGGACTGTCAATCATTTCTTAGCAGCAAGTACAGAATAGAATGGTGACTGACTGGCAGCAGATAATTACTGAAAGGTACTGACAAGTGACAAGTGGATAGCAGGTGTATCCGATGGTGGAAACATTTTCGATACCATGACAAATTAGCAAATATCCTGGAGCAACGATATCACACCGATTTCGTTATAATATAGTAGTATTTCTGACTGGTATAGAAGTATTTCTGACTGGGTATATGGGGTTATTGAACTGCCACCCAGGCTCACATTCCGGAAGCATCCGTGATTGAAACTTTGAAAGTAGCAGAATGAACGTACCTGTCGCCTCATTTTGTGCTGCTAATGTAAAATCACAAAGTTCGTCTTCATCCTCTAGAATTTCTCCATTGAGTAGCTTTCGAATACTAGCCTCCACTTGCTCCATTGCTTTATCAACAGACGTGACAGACGACAACACCAACCCCACACACGCAGACGCAACGCAACGTAAACAGAACCTACAGGCCATCAGCGCCTTCTAGTTCTTCTAGCAGTTAGAGGCGTTTGTTATTTGTTCCTGTTGGCGGTTACTTTAAATTGGCAAAGAAAAAAGATTTGGCAACTAAAGGGTTCATCGGGTAAAGGGCCTGTCTTTCATCTTATCTTTTATTGAATTGAATAAAGTAAAGAGTGTAACACCCCCATATATGGAGCTCTTGCTCTTGGGGCATGTATGTCAAAAAAGAAATAAATAAATAAAAAAAAGAATCGAGTATGTAAAACAGGCTAATATGGACCATGCGAGGTAATGTGGACCACCATCTTATTATCTTATTCCTATGGTCCATATTACCCTGTTTTACGGTGGTGTTTTCTTCACAATCTTACAATGCAAAACCAGGAGAAAATCAGTAAATTTTTAAGGTACCTTGTGGAGTGAACGTAGGGAATGAAACACATGACAGCGGAGATAATGAGACTAGCGCTGGCTTTCGTTTTATTTCATCAGTAAAACAGAATGCTGCTTAGAATGTGAACTATTTATGGACACTAGATGTCTACATACAGGCAATCCTGGATTCTCTAAATATAAACAGAAGCAAATCCCCAACACAAATGCAGTAGATAGCGTGCAATTTTTAGGGTCACATTAGCAGCTCATAAATATTTTCAAAAGATAAAAACAACAAACCTTAAGTATTTAAGTAAAAGGCTTCACATATACACAAACAGTTAATTTAATTTAAAATATCCATGACATATACATTAGAGGGTAGCGTAAAAAAAGGATTTGAGATATTGAAATGGCGGGTATGCGGAAAAGTTGTCTTTTTAGATGTAGAATCCAGTGCAATTTTTTATTTTGAGATCGGACAATATTTTCCGATCGCGCAACGAGTTCAAAGTTATGCATTAGATCTTATGGGAAAAATCGTCCAAAACCGTGAAAAAATGAAAATCGAAAATTTGGGCTTTGTATGTGATGTTTTTTGAAAATCTGTTTTCAGAAATGCAATCTACGCCATAAAAGGCATCCACTGATGTGTCACACTTGACATTATAGTGAGCGGTTCAGTGTCGGCCAGGTATCAATTTAAGCCCAAATTGCATCAAATTGCACAAAAGTCATGAATTTATGCAGCCTACACCGCCTAAACCATGGGTTGCAATATCAAGTGTGATACATCACCGGATGCCTTTTTTGGCGTAGATTGCATTTCTGAAAACAGATTTTCAAAAAACATCACGTACAAAGTCTAAATTTTGGATTTTTATTTTTTAATGGTTTTTGACGATTTTCCCCATAAGAGCTAATGCATAACTTTGAACTCGTTGCGCAATCGGAAAATATTGTCCGATTTCAAAATAAAAAATTGCACTGGATTCTACATCTAAAAAGACAACTTTTCCGCATACCCGCCGTTTCAATATCTCAAATCCTTTTTTTACGCTACCCTCTAATATACATATGAGCACGTATATGTACATGTAATAAAGATATTTTTATGTTATACATTTACTCATATTGAAAAGATCTAAAGCGCATAATGCACATTCAAGAAATTCACATATACTATTTTATATCTTATCTTATTGGAGTAGTACAAATATTATCACAAAGCTACCGATTTTCTTACTTTGTGATCTGCACATTGCAAGAAATCAGGGAATCACATAACACCAACATTCACATTCAGTCGTAGAAGTTTTAACAATAACCTATATCTAATCGGTTTTACATATCACATGTTATCATGGGTTGACTCAGATAATATACCACCCAAAATTTGTAGAGTTCGATTCAATTCAACCTGTACTCACAAAAGTTGTCATGCTCATAAAAAAGAAAAGAAAAAGGACAAAGACTGCAAAAGGAGAGGAGATGGAGATAATTGAACATAGCATGTAGTTGGGCTTGACATCTTTAACAAAGACAACCATTTAGAGATTACTTGCCTCATACAGTTATTGATTGTAACAATAACAGAAGAGAAACTGATCATTGTCAAAATTGTCAGCCAAGAGCATTGTATCTAATCCTAAGAAACAAGCCAATAGATAAAATCTCACATCAATGCTGACCAAAATCATATTTACTAATGTTTTGAATGTGAACTTAAATTTAAAATGCAGTCAACTTTAGATAGTAAAAGACTTATAGTTTTGGTCATTAGGATGGCACACACATTTTTAGCAGCCCTACAATAAATCACATAATTAAAGAAAATGATCCAGAGATGACTTAACATCCAGTTAGGACGTGACAGTATGACAGGAGGACAATTACATAAAACTTGTAGAAGAGTTTGTATGGTATTGATGACTTGCCACTGCAATGCTTTGAATTACTTACAAAGTACAGATACATCCAAATCCAATGACAACCAATTGATAGCAACACCCTCTGCTGCACTTGCTGCTATTAGAGGGTATCAGTATCTGTCTGCAGAGAAAATTTGAGATTTGAACTATTGAAACACTTAACTTTAAAAAAGAAAACTGTTCTAATAATCACAACCATTTTATCATGTTTACCAAAATAATACAAGATAAGAGACTGTCGCATATTATTATCATGAGATCTGAAAACATTGATGGTTAACACGTTGACAAAAGTAAGCTGCTGTTGTTGACCTAAAAAAATACTTTTTATTACGAGAATTCTAGGTAGAAAATGTGTTTTGAATTGACTCAGTTAGAGCTTACTAGTCATGAAAATTGAGATATTGATATTGGTCAAAACTTGGTACAAAGGAAGGATAATATCCAAACCAACAAACCAAAGACATAATTGGCATAAATAAAATTGCTCCCTGCCGGCATTAACAGAATGCTAGCTAGGACGACATGAGCAGTCAGGAGGTACCCTACTCATGAAGTCTTCATCATCATCCTCTCCATTAGGGTCAGGTTGAACTTGATCGGGATTATAGCCCATGTAATTCATCAGGACAAAATCAAATGGATCTGCCTTCATTCGCTTTTGGTTTTCTTTTGCAGCAACATCCTTGTTGCTCACCTCTCTATCATCCTTTCGTCCATCCTTAAAAGGAATAAAATAAATTGGTTATCTAAGAGTAGATCACTTTCCATTACATAAATTGTTTTTCTCTTCCTATTCCTGATCAAATCATTTAACTATATTTACCTGAGGGAGTGGGCTCCAGAGTCGAACAACAGGGTCAATGCCTGATGTAGCCATCAGACAAAACGTAGGATGAGGCTGTAGGCAGTTGACAATGGAAGCATCCCCTTTCAATATGCGTATATTGTTGGTAGTATTGCGTTCCCAAAAGTACATGGAACCATCATCAGAACCAGCAACAATAAATTGCCCATCTCTGTAATTTAGAAAGTAAATAAATTGATATTTTATACAAAGAAAATGGGTCTGTTCTTCAGTTTCTAAATTAGATTAAATTAAATCTCTGACTGGTGCATCTAAAATATTTTATTAGAATACCCACTCTCCGAAAAAGTTTGCTTCTTTAATGTCAGTTGTAGTGTTGCAATGACCACAAAACCGCTTTTCATAGTCCAAAGCATTTTCCTGCCATTTTTGCTCTTGTGGAGATCGAGTTAGTCGAAATAAATCCCAAGGGTTAGACATTCTTTCATCTTCTTTCAAAAAATAAAATTAGTGATGATTTAAATAAACTATGCATTACAGAACATACCTGCAGTTCAAATTGAGGATGAAAATACACACAAAACTTACCAGTTACTTTAATCTTGGATGCCACTATCTCTATGTCTTTTTCTAGAGCTCTACAAGATGTATTCTGAGAATGAGATGGATATTTGTTTTTGAAAACCTTTAAACAATCAACAGCTGCTGTGGTCCATTGCAATTCATGAAGGCACCGAATCATCCTAGAAGTAAATTTTTACTAAATGGAAAATTTTGTAAAAAAATCCTTAATAAATACATGTTACGGCTAAAGTCCTTTGCCTGGTTAATGTCGACATTAGCCGGTTAAAGTCGACTCTAAAACCAGGGCTCGCGGTTATAGTCATCCGGGGGCCGGAACGCATGGTTCAAGGGAAGCATCAGCTGGCTACAGTCAACATGAACCAGGTGAATTCAATATTTACTTACCTAAAATGAGCTTTGTAATGGTTTGGTTCTAGCTCTAGCGTCCTTTGACAATCTCTGAGAGCTGCATATACATCACCATCCCTGAAAACATTACAAATACACATGTTATTTATGTCCTTTCAAGTTTTATTTATTTTACAAACAATTTGGATTCATTCATTTTTCAAATTTATAATGCTTCCAAAAATAAAGTTGGTATTACCAGTCGCGCTTCATTAAGGCTGCAGCTCTGTTGCCAAAGAGAACAGCGCTATCGGAAGACATACTGATAGCTTCATTATAGAGTCGTACAGCAGTTGGATAGTCCAGGTTCTCAAAGGCATTATTGGCCTAGACAAGATGGGAAAATTGAATGGTTTAGAATTAACTAGAACAATTACAATTTGATCAGGAACTTAATGCTGCCTTACTCTTAGCCTCAAGCTTTCAACACGACGTGGGAGAGGAGGACGAGATGTGAAAGGATCAGCATTGGCCTCTTCAACCTTAGTATGTATCCAACGATTGAGCTCCAAGGTACCATTTACATATCCATGGGTTGGACCTTGGACTTGTTTCAAAGTGCATTCTACAATCAAAAGCAACAATTTTAATTTTACAAAACACTTTTCTTCTGGGAAAGGGGATAAGAAGAGGATTTGTGAGAGTAGTTAGATTGTTATTCTCAAAATCATTTCTTACCATTGCTAGATGTTCCAGCATCATCAAAGTAGTAAGGCGATGACTTGAAGTCATAAAACTGGGCAGCAGTTTTAGTATATATGTCAAAGAGGTAAATTTGCTCTCCACCTAGATTCACAAGTAGGTCTCGGCCATTGGCACCAAAAGTAACATATGTGGATGCAAGACTTCTGTGTTTTCTATGTACAGGATCACGGCTAGATAAATGTCCTGCCAAAGTAAAGAATACTGATGTAAAAATAGGTTCTCGTTTTCAGTACAGTCTCAAGTCATGCTATTATGTATATGATAAAATCTATGAAATACCTGCTACAAAATATTCAGCACAGCCATCAGGTAAATGATCTGATTTTGTCAAATCATTTCCATTTTCCAAAAGGCGCTGATCGGCTTTCTGAAATAAAAGGAGATAAATACAGAAATCAAGTTATAGAGAATTTTAGGCAACTAGTACTATTAAAAATCATCAATATAGAAGCAATTTACTGGCACTGTTGTCGGACGTATCATCCGCCGATCATATAGGCGAACAAAGGGGTCATTGGCACCAACAGCCAACAGTTCAGATCTGACCGGATTAACAGCAAGACATTTAGCTTCAGCAAGCTTTCCAAAACAGTGTTTCAGATAAATTAGAACATTATCACTCTCACTCCGACAGACATGTGGGGCACGAAGGTCAAATTGTCTGCAATTTAGAAGTAAAAAAATACTATTAGGGAAGCAGAATTTAAAAAATTAAAATAAACACACTAAATTAGGGGCATTAGTACCTTATGGTGCCATCCTCTGAAGAACTCCAAAACAATGATGGTGTTTCAGGACAAACAGCTAGTCTTTTAACTCGGCTAGAGTGGCATGTACACACACTAATAGTTTCATGAAGCTTTATATCATGTACATTTATCATGTAATCTGCTGCGCCAGAAATTAGAATACTGTCATTGGTTTTGGGCATGAACTGGAGGAAATACAATATTGTTAATACCAAGAAGTTAAGGACAAAAAATACTTCAGTTATATTGATTTACTTACCTTGACAGAGAAAATATTTCCTTGATGGTTTGTTGCAACAGTGTGGAGTGCTTTATGGCGAAATGGATCCCATACAATGACGTGGAAGTCATCAGAGGCAGAGGCCAACAATCTTTGTAGAGAAAAAATAAAAATAAAAATCTTTATTCTAAAATAATTTTTGAAATAAGAAAAATAACAACATAATGAAGCAAATTTGAGATGATAGGATTTTTGTAAATGATCACTATGGATACAAAGGTGTATGAACTGTTATGTTTTACTTGCTACAGTGCTACAATAGGGAATCAAATCAAAAAGATGTTGAACATACTCTCCAGTAGAATTCCACTCTAGACAGTTGACACAGCCGGTATGTCCCTCCAATTCTCTTTCTAGGCCAAGACGTAGTATCAAGTCCTCTGTCACATGTAAACGACTCTGAACCTTCCTAGCAATCTTATCCTGAAATAAAATAAAATTCTCATTTAAGGTATTTTAAATTTTTTGGATATGTAGTTCGTTTGTCGATACTGCAAAAATAAAATTTGGTACAAACTCATTCATATTTCAACTAAATAAAAATTTAAAGACAGAAAAAGCAGGGAAGCCAAGACAGATTATACAGTATCATAGTATCATAACCCCGTACAGAGGCGTTAACTTACATCGATTTCTCTGCTCTTCACTAGGTTCAAAATGTTGTCATTCGAGGCCATTTTGGCCTACAAATTTAAATTGATCTCAATTTTTGGCGGTAGAATGGTAGACAAGTGTGTAATCATGCAAAAGACATACAAAAAGCGTACACAAAAACCTAAAAATAGGTCTCGTTAGGGCGGTAGAGACTTGATGGTATGAGCCGAAACTTTACTTTATCAATATCGTAGTTGTACCAAATACAACGTCTACGCCTTAATCAGTTTGAAGGTTTCCTCCCAAAGCCCCAAATCGCAAGAAAACACACAACTTTCTTAACATTGATATGACAGCCTGACATGACAACCAAGCTAAAGGTAACACACAACACAACACACGACCACGGCTTTCTGCTCTGCTTCTCCCCTCCTTGTTTTGCGGACTGTAGACATTCTCATAAAACAAAATATTTACTTTGGGCGGGATGTTTAAACTGACGTTGGTGATCGAGGGAATCAGGAGGGAAATAATTACCAAGCGCTCTACTAAGCCCTCTCCTCATCCGGATAGAACTATTGGAACGTGAAAGATAACGTGAACGATGACTAGCATAAGACCATGAGCAGCGCAGTAACGAAAACTACATTAAAAAGCTGAGCAGAACGAGATGGTCATGAGGTAAGAGGGTGAGAGCGAGCGTGGTGCGTGAGTGATACGCGATACGTCCTGGCGCAAGAATATACATCTTTATTGTCCAGCCGGGCCGGGGAATGCGCGGGGCGCGGGGCGGGGCTGCTGAACGGGGGAGGGGAAGGGGGGGGGGGCTCGTTGACCTTGGTCGGCGGCGCGACGACGCGGGGAGCGCGGACCGCGGGGCACAGCGGAAAGTGGAGTGGGCTTGAGGAGTCAGCGAGTCAGTCAGTGTGCCGGTCGTTGTCTGCGGCCGCCGCCGCACATCGCCGTCGGGACGCACCATCAAGCTCGACGACCACAATGGGGCCGGCGTGGACAGGGTGACAAGACGGAAGACACTCCCTCCTCTACAATGAGTGCGTCAGGCAGCACAGACTGCGTCCTCCCGGTGGACGTCCTGCTGGAGGCCAAGACCACAGCTCGGGCGACCCGCCGGCAGGTCTTTGCCACAATGTCGGGTGAGTTGAAGTAAGATCAAACTGATTTTTAGACTGCTGTCAGACGATTAAGCAGTAAACAGTCCGTCTGTCCTTCGCTGCCCCCCCCCCTTCTCTAAATCCCCCATGTTTGTAAGCCTTCGAGGTGTGTCGTGTTTTTCCACTGGGCTTATTTTTCAACTTATTCCCCCGGCTTAAAGGGACCGTAGGGCGTATAGCGGCAGGCCCGGCGTGGCATGGGTTTCCCTGCGTGTTCAGGCCGCGCACCTCGTGACGGTCTAAGGGCTACTCTACCCCTCAGTAGCTGCTCGTGGGTCGCAGCGATAACATGATAAACTACAACACGTTCGTGGACATGGCGGCGCGCAGCGGCAGCGAGGGAGAAGGAAGGGTTCAACGTCCCTCTGTCTCCTCATGTCCCGTCGCTAGTGGGAGGCCCGTGATACAGAGACAAGTGCTGGTGAGCTTGGCAGGTGAGGTGAGAGATGGAGGAGGGGGGGGGATAAGAAAAGACGAGATAGATCGCCTTACAGAGCTTGTGTGGGGGAGATCCGTTGTAGCTTTTAGCCCAGCTGTGATGTTTCTTGTTCTGGCACCTTTCCTCTCTCTGGAGGCATTGGGGCTTATGTTAGAGAAAAAATCATGTAATGTATACATTGACGCATATTCTTGATCCTGCAGCTGGACTGGCATGCGTGGCCGTGGGGTCGTGCCTAGGGTGGCCCTCCCCCACTCTAGCCCGCATGAGCAGCCCCCACTGGCGGTGGCCGGGCACAGGGATCGCACACCAAGCCCACCGCCAGCCCCGGCCGCTGTCCGGGGACGAGGGCTCCTGGGTGGTGTCCCTCATGGACTTGGGCGTGGTGCTTGGGTCGCTGCCTGCCGGCTGGGCTGCGGACCGCTGGGGTCGCCGGCCCATTCTGCTGCTGAGCGCACCGCTCTTCGTCGTGTCGTGGCTGCTGGTGCTGGTCGCCGAGGTGAGTCCGCGTCACTCGCTGAAAGACACGCAGTGCGGTCAGCTTGTTCTGGTTTGGGCCGACTAGTCACAGCCTCCCTTTCTCTGCCTCTCAGGGTCCCGAGTTTTTGTACGCGGCCCGCCTCCTCCAGGGGCTAGCCTCGGCCGTAGCCATGGTCGTGTCCGCCATGTACGCCGGCGAGGTGTCCGAGGACGGGCTCCGAGGCACCAACAGCACCCTGGTGGCCATGCTGCTCTCCCTGGGCACGGTGCTGTCGTACTCGGTGGGTCCGTACGTCACGTACCGCGCGCTGGCGTGCGCGCTCCTCGCAGTGCCCGCCCTGTTCGTGATGTGCTTCTGCTGGGCGCCCGAGTCCCCGCACTGGCTGCTGGCAAAGGGCCGGCGTCTCGAGGCCGAGGAGGCCCTGCGCTACCTCCGCGACGGCGACACCACCAGCAGCGGCCCGCTGCTCGTGTGCGCCGAGGCCGACCGCATCGAGACCGCCATAGTGGAGGCGTCGCCGCGAGGCACGGCGGGGACGGCGACCCTGCTGAGTGCCGCTCGGGAGCTACTGCTCGTGTCCGGGCCCGACCGCGCCGCCTTCCTGCTCGTCCTTGGTCTCGTCTGCATCCAGGCGCTCAGCGGCTCGGATCCCATGACTGCGTATTCGGCCATCACGCTGCCCGGGGGCTACGTCTTGGACGCCGACCAGGTCGTCATCGTCTTCGGGGTGGTGAGTGGGGGTTGGGGAAGTAGACGCGCGCGCAGTTCGCGCACCGCCGCTCGGCAGGGATCACAAACCGCACTCTGACCCCTCTCTGCTCCGCAGGTGAGCACTGTCTCGACGGGGGCGGGCGCGGTGCTCATCGACCGCGTGGGCCGGCGGCTGCTGCTGATCGCCTTCGCCTCGCTGCAGTTCGTCTCGCTGCTGGGCTCCGCCGTGTACTACTCGCTCGACGAGCGCACCGAGGTCGACCTCGCCGCGGTGCAGTGGCTCCCGCACACCGCCCTGGTGCTGTACGGCGTGGCGTATCCCATCGGCCTGGGCACCGTCCCCAACGCCCTACAGGTGCGTCTGTACAGAGCTGTACTCCAGCCTATTCGATTCAACGTTTGGTATGCCAAACCAAGTAGCTGACCCACCACACCGCGCACTTTCGTAGTCATACTGTACCGCAGGCACGCGTGCGGGCGGGTTGCCTATTCGCACGGTGTCGTAGGAGCCGTAGTCAGCGAGGATAGGCAAACCCGCCAGTGTACGGTATAACTAAGAAAGTGCGCGGTGTGAGTCAGCCACCTGGTTCATACGGTAGCATGCAGTTGTAATGGGACGTACATTAACACTAACATTAACGTTTGTCTCTTCTAGATGGAGCTGTTCAGCACGCGAGTCAAGGGACTGGCCCTCCCCGCCATCCTAGTATCCTTCAACGTGCTCACGTTCACCGTGTCCAAACTGTACGAGGTGGTCTGGCACGCATGGGGCAAGGACGTAGCGTTCTGGGTGTTCTCCGTCGACTGCCTGCTGGCCGTCCTCCTAGCAACGCTCGCGCTCAAGGAGACAAAGGGGAAGTCCTTCCCGGAGATCCAAGACCTCTTGGACCCTCGGCGGAAGCAAAGAAACACTCCAACTTGGCCTTCATGAGAAGCAGCATGGGTGCAGTATGTTTGAAAACTGTGCAAGAATTCCCCTCGGACCCCTACTTTTCCTGGTTATGCCGTACCGCATCCACTCGTGTAGGTGCGTTGCCTACTATCTCGGGGCCGCAAGGCTCCATAGATGTAATGACGGTGGGCAAACCCGCCAGCGCCCCTGCATTCGGTACCGGACTGGGCCGATGGAGCATCCTGTATGGTGTATACGGAAGGAAGGGGCGTTAACACGGCTCAAACCCTTTGGAATGTTGAACTACTTAAAACACGAATACTTTTAGGGGTCATGATGCTTTATTTTTTGAGATGGTATGTGGCGCGGTCACAATGTTTTCCGTTGCATTTTCTGTGACTAGTATTAAGGCACTCAAGACTGATAGTTGTTGTATGTCTGTAAATATTTACGTTAAGGTAACAATTATAGTTGTAAATCAATAGCAAAGTGCCGTGTCTTATGATCTTAATCCTAACTTATTAAACCCAACTCGTGATCGCATATCTTTAGCCAGATAAAGCTAGTGTATGCCGACTTATGCACATCATTGTCTGGATTTACAGCTGCCAGCCCATGTGTTGTATGGCTGGGGCGTCGTTGCAGAAGTCAGCCAGAGCCCCAAAGCCTAGCTGATTAGATAGCATATTGTCAAAATCGCGCCGAAATGTATCACGCTAGTATAAAACGCGAGCATGAGTTACAACGATCATGATACTACTGTATGTAAGGATACAATTTATGTCACCTGGTGAAACAAACTATAATAATTAGTTATCATGACGCTCGCATAATAAGTACACATAGAGAAATAGTTCACCAATTCACGTGAAAAGAATCGAGCATGGCACGTGATTATGAATTCGTCGAAGCGCGTGGTACAACAGGAAATAGGACTGACATGACGAGCGTCAGCGTCACAGTGATACGTGAAGTAGGTAGGATGGGGCCTTCACAATTAAGGACCTCGCGAGTGCTCAAGGGATTATCCCAGATTAATTCGACCGTAAACGATACCTGCTGGCAATCGGCGAGAACTTATCGATCAGCTCTTAGTCACACGCTCTTGAAAGAACTCGCCGTTCCTCTGCACTATCCTTCGATAGGTCACCGATACGCTTTCAGTCCCCCACATTGTCGTCGAGGACATCCTGGTCGCCGGCCAGGTCCTCGTTGTCGATGGCGAGTCGGAGAAGGCCGCCCTGGTGGTCGTCGCGCTGCCACACTCGGCAAGTATTGTCCTTGCTGGCCGTGAGCAATACATCCCCGTTGTAGCTGAAGCTGCAGAAGAACAAGTCGTCTCGGTGGCCCTCGAGCACCTGCACGCACGTCCCCGTCTCCACCGTCCAGAGGCGGGCCGTCCGGTCCTGGGAGGCGGTCAGGAGCTGCGAGCCCCCGGGGCTGAAGCATACCTATTCCTTCCAAGTTATAGCACAGTTTTGGGTAGAAACATACGCGAGGTGAAGAGGACGGTACCTTGCATATCTCGTCGCGGTGTCCCTCCATCAGCGCGACCAGGTCAAAGTTCTCAGCCACGTCCCACACCCTGGCCGTGCAGTCCGTGCTGCAGGTAGCCAGCCGCCGGCCCGAGTAGTCGAATGACACGTCCTGGAGCTGACGCAAGTGTGAGTGGCGTGTCGCGGGGAGGGTCACGTTTCTCGTCTCCCACAAATAGAGCACGGAAGGCGCGTCGCCGGGGGAGGCACGGGGACGCAACGTGCAACGTGCACACGATGAGTCAAAGTGCATAGCGGCGTTTGTGAACGCGGCGCGGCGGGGCGGCCGACACAGGCCGGGCGCGTCAGTCGGGTGACTTTTCTCACAGGTTCCCAGTCGGGAACAAAAGTAAAAATTAGTGGTTATTTAGTTACCGGGTTGCTGAAAAGCCCCGCCCGATTTTGTAGTTACGGACGAGCGTAATCGCCTGTAACCCGGGCGCCTTACCCTAGCAAGTGAAATAACTCCCTGAACCGTCAGTTTTTAGTCGGCCTGTGTTTTATCAGCCAACTGGCATAATAGTACTAGCTGAGCCGTGCACTGAAACTGTGCAGCACCAGACAGCTCGCAAGCAGACGTGGGTGGGGCTCTGCTGCCCATACAAAGTACTCTGTGGTGCTGCCTACCTTCTCACGCGTAGGATCCGTGTAGGTGGCCCAACCCCTACACAATGAACGTACCCCGAGGCGGCGCGAGGGAACGTCGGGCGCTACACGTTCCTTTTGCCCGACCTCTTCACGTGGGAGCTCGGGGCGGGCCGCCGGCTCCACAAAGGTGCTTGGCGGGTTGGCCCACCCAGCGCGTTGCAGGCGCTATCATTAGCGTCGCCTCGGGAAACGTTCATAGTGAGGGCACATTAGGAAGTCATCGGAAGTGGTAAGAGGCAAACCCATTCCCACTCGCGGCACAACATTTTACTACGTGTGTAACTACAAGGATGTGCACCCCCCGTCCTCGTTTATGCTCAATTTGTTGGGTATATTCTTCACATCTTCCTTACCTCCTCCTCATGCCCAGTGATTGTCGCCAGGCTCTTCATCTGCCGCGGGTCCCACACCCTGGCCGTTCGGTCGAGGGAGCAGCTGGCCACGAGGCTGCAGTCGAAGTTGAACTGGCAGTTGGAGATCTCTTCCCTGTGTCCCGTCAGCACCCCGATGCGCCTGAGTCGCAACGAGTGAAAAGGGATAGTCCGTAAAGCGCGCAAGTTTTTCGCATGCTCATTCGGCAAATTATCGGAGCACGGCGCCTGCGAGACTCGGGTTAGGCCAACCCGCAGTGCACGCATGCAACTGCACGCGAGATGTTGCCTACCTACCAGGCGCTGAATGAGAGCTTGCATCTACATCAGGGACAGGTATACTCGAATTTCTAAGGTTCGTAACGAAAAATGACTGTCGTACTTTCTGGATGGTCCCAAAGTCAAAACATGTCACAATCTACACCGCGTGTCGGGCCACGAAACAGCAGTGTGGTTGTTCGCCTACCCGCGGTGCCATCATGCGCCTTACGGCCTTACGGGGCGATGGAGCGAGTAGGCAAAGCTACATACCATATGTTGTAGCCTTGACATAGGTTCATCTTTAGGGCCAGGGGCGAATTTCGTGGGTAGAGCACAAGGAAAGCTCGTCGAGTTGCGCTTCCGCCAGCTGCCATGGCTCTCTGATCCGCGTTTCCATTAGTCACCCCCACTCACTGGTTCGTGCGGGTGTCCCACAGCGCGAGGGTCCCGTCAAAGGAGCCCGTGAGCAGCGTGTCGCCGGCGCTGTTGAAGTGCAGCACCACCACCTCCCCCGTGTGGCCCCGCAGCGTGCCCAGCTCTTGCCCTGCAAAGAGATGCGCACAAAAAGGTCGACTTTAGGCTCTTGTCTTATTGTCGCTTGACATGGCGGTAAACTAAACTGCACTTATCCTGAGGAACTTTGTCTTTATATTTCCTGACGTAAAGGAACTCTGAAACCCTAAAACTCTATCTGCCCAAACTGTAGAGCGCGTCAACGTTGGTGCTACAGGCGCGGTTGGGGGGGGGGGGGTCCAAGGGGCGATAACCTACCCTCTCCCCGTCAGCCCGCCAGATAAATATATATCAAATTCCCTGTATATAACCCCGTAACTGGGAAACCCACAGAATATACCACCCCCTGTCCCCCACGTCAGCCGGTCCTGAAACCGTGTCTGTGGCGCCATCGTTCACGCCCGTTCGTATGTGCCAACCCGAGACCGTGTTGTACAGCCGGGCTGTGTTGTCCATGGAGGCGGTGGCCACCAATTGGTTCGTCGGGTCGAACTTGGCCGACACGACCTCGGCCGAGTGGCCCCACAGCGTCTGCAGGCACTCCCCCGTCTGGGCGTTCCACACGCGGGCCGTCTTGTCGAACGACCCCGTCAGCACGTGCTTCCTGCGGTGAGTCGGGCACAGATATTATGAGTCTGTTAGCAGCGCGAAGCCAGGGAAGTAGTCGGACTAGGGCTGTGCGATATCACGATATTTCGATATCGATACGATATTTTCCGATATCGATGGCTCGATATTCTCCCAATATAGATATCGAAATGTTGAGGTAGGTTGCTCGCTCGACGTTATTGCTATATATCGCGATATATCGGCCGTTTTAGACATATCGTCCCAATCGATATGGTTCGATTTTGCGATATCAGTCAATATTATCGCGACTCGATGCATCGAGTCGATGTTCGATACATAGTCAATATCGTACCGCGATATCAACAATCTGGATATCGCACAGCCCTAAGTAGTCGCTGACGCAGTCCTAGAGACACCCCGGCTCTGGCTCACTCGTCGAGGTTGCTGAAGGCGACGGAGAACACGACGTTCCTGTGGCCCTCGAAGGTGCGGAGCTCTCCGCCGGCGTGCACGTCCCACAGCTTGCAGGTGCGGTCGTAGCTGCCGGTGAGGCAGCGGTCGCCGGCGCGGCTGAAGGTGGCGTTGGTCAGGGGCAGGATGTGCGCGCGGAGGGTGCGGTGCCGCAGGTAGCGGGTGTTGGCGGCCTCGCGCAGGCGGCGCTGCAGCGCGCGCAGGGAGCGCACCAGCTGCGGCCGCACCCCGCCCGTCAGCAGCGGCTCCTGCGCAGCGAGCACCGAGGCGGCGGCCTCCACGTCGGACCTATGCAACACCAGACACCCGTCAGCGACTGATAGTGCTTAAACCACTCGCGAGCAAATCACACGGGCCGAGGCCGTCTCTGTACCTTATGTCGAGGTCCAGGAGATCAATCATTTTCATCTTGGTCTCTGCTCCTTGTGTATATTCAAGACCTAGCCCTGTGTCATCAAGACAAACGTGTCAGTGAGGATTTGGTCATCATGTTCATGCTGTGTGTTGTGGGGGGGCTAGCTCTACTCGCACGACCCCACACGAGTCGACGTGTCGTGTAGGTGTAGGCAGCCCGCCCGCGCCCCCGCGTCAACAACTTCGGGGGGTTCATGACACCACCACCCACCCATTACTTGTGACAAAAATAAATATCAGGCTCCCCCTGGGTAGTGTTTGTACATGCATCACCGGGAAAGAGTTTGTGATAGCTCACCTGGAGGAAAATGGCGCAGGAGAAACCGCTTCAGTTTCATTTTAACTTTTATCCTGTTACAATATTGGGCGACGACGATAGCGTTTCCGCGGGACGTCGCAACCCGGCCCACGCACATGTGTCTCACCGATGGAAATAAACATTAACAGCCAACAATTTCTCATCGCATGATCTCGGCATTTGCAGCAGAAGACGCATTTTAGCTTCTGCTAGACGGTCCACAACTTGCCCGACGGGCGTTGCTAGGAGACCGAGGCGCTTTCGATTTAAGTTGGTCGCGCTGTTCGGGAGACCGAGACCACGTCGAGCCACGTCGGCTCTACTTCGTTTGCCTTCGGCTCGTCGTCGCTCATGGCATCGTTGGTAGACCGCCCGCTCACTCCCAACGCCGGCTTTTCTACAGCTGGCTGCGCATTCATGTTGGTTGGGTTGCCTATCTACCGGCGCTCCGAGGGTCGCATTGTCTGATGTAGCGACGGCAGCTCATGCAGGCCAAGGAAGGCCTCGGATTCCATTTTATCGCTTTCTACCCTATCTTTCTCTGAGACACTCGCACCCACGGTGCAGACACCGCCCCCCGACAAGCATTGGGGCCCCAGCCGGCCCCGAGACTCGAAGACGGAGTCAAAGACCATCAGAGTTACTTTCCAGTCACCTAGGCATTTTTGTCGCTTATTTTGGGGGGCAACGCCGTCAAAGTAGTTTGACTATTACTTTTGAGAAAGCGGGGCTATTAGGCTCGCATAGATGTAGAACTACCCAGCGAGAAAAAAAGTCATGTACAACATTCGCCAGTAAGCAACTCACCCCAATAGAGCTGCGACGCACATATCTCGCCCAACTCGTGGCCAACGTGATGGGTAAGCAACCGTTCCGGAGGCTCTGCAAAGCATGGCTGCGAGGGCAAGTCATAAAAACCATGAAACGGGTTCGGACGCTCTACGCTCACCCCAAGCGTACGCGAGCCGGCACACGTACTCCGCGGGGTGGGATGGGAGGGGAGGGGCGGGGGGTACGACTACGTCCCGCCGCGCCCGCGCCATGACTGACGTGCCGGCGCCGTACACCAACCAGAGATGAGATCAGATGAATGCATAACTAGCGGAACCTTCGCCGAGTCATGGAGAAATCAAGATTGGAACGACGGACATAGCGATGAGAATTCTTCATCTGCACGTGTGCGTTGCATAGCGCGACATACAAAAATACTGGTATTTTTGCCCGTAAGGTGACTGGCCCCTTACGTAGACAAAACCGCCCGCACCTGCGTCTTCTCTGAATCAACCGGCACAGCATATGTTCGACAGTCATGAAGATTGTGCCGAATATCGTTTTATAAAGGAGTTGATAGGCCATCGTGGGGCAGTCTTAACTTGACCCCACGATTGGCACAAGGGCGCACCAGGACTCGTAAAGTTTCAGGGGCAATGCCATGGATGCCATGGCACGCCGTCCGGCGCAGGCCTCGACATACGCCCGCCAAGGACACTATCAAATGAGTCCTGGGCGAGGGGGAGGGGAGCCGGCGGGGAGGGGCGCGATCGTAAGTACTGGCAGCGCGTCCAGGAAGCAGAGATACTTTTATGACGGATGAACTTCATTCAGGTGGGTTACAGGGCGGGTTACAGACGTGGCTCGTTGGTGCTGTGTAGTAGTCGACCATACTGGAACATGAGGGCAACTGTGACATTCGGCCCGTGTGCACCCAACGAGCGCCAAGGAAAGGCTTGAAAAGGGCAAAGTTGACATAAATGGGCAAATTCCCTGGGTATGTTTGCAATTGTTGCTGGTGTTGCACCATCATAGCTCAGAGCGGGGCGCTACGTGACGGGCGCAGGGCCCGTGCTCGCCCTTCGTCCGGCTCCCGCCGCCGTATTCTCGGAGGATCCACTGCTCCCACTGACTGCTCCATTGGCGCCCCGCCCCTCCCCGCCCCACCCCGCCATCGCCCTCCACGGCCGCACGCACCCCTCCCCTCCATAAGAAAGGCTGGCCGACGCATCGCCGGCATCAGTCCGTCCCCGGCGCTCCCCGTGTGCACCGCTACCGCGTACACGCAACGCTGCTGCACTCCATCGACGCGTCGCACCCGTTCCCGACCAACTGCGTAGTGTTTGTGCTTCGCCCGCTTTGCCCCCCAGCGGACCCAGTCTCCACTGTGCCTCACTATCGACGTCATCGACAACGCCGGCACTCGTCACGTCACCGCCATGTGTGTGGAGGGCTTCCGCGTGGAGCGACCGTCGGGCGCGCGCCCCGCGGTCGTGGCGAGGGGCGTGAGGCCGCGCTTCCAGCCACCATCCGCGCCCGCGCCCGACGAGTGCGCGAGCCTCTGCGCCGCGCAGCAGAGCCGCTGCGGCGTCATTGACGGGGGCCCCGACGGCCCCAGCGGGCCCGTGGGCGCGGCGGCCGGCGAGGCCCGCGGCGCGGCCCAGCGACAGAGGAGTCCGAAGAGGAGCCCACAGCGGTTGAACGGCGAAGCGCGTGGCCACTGCTGCGGTACCGACCCGCCGCCGGCGGACATCCCAGCAGCAGCAGACGCTCTACCCTTCGACCCGCGTGCCATGGCCGCGGACATCCAAGCCCAGGTCGCGATGGACCCCGCCGACGTCCACCATCACCATCGCCACCGCCAAAACGGCATGGTGATTCCCCACGCCCAGGAGGACGTAGACGACGTCCTCCTCGCCAAGCAGAAGCAGCCCACGGCCGCCGA